CTCCCGTTGCGGAGCACAGGCTCCGGACGCGCAGACTCAGCGGCCATGGCTCACGGGCCCAGCCGCTCCACGGCATGTGGGATCTTCCCGGACCGGGGCACGAACCCGTGTCCCCTGCATCGGCAGGCGGACTCTCAACCACTGCGCCACCAGGGAAGCCCTGGAGAAACTTTCTTTTGTGGTCAGGAACCAGACAGAGCTGCTTGCTATCACCAGTGTGCCTGCGTAGTACCAGAGGACTGGCCAAAAGAAGCAAGTAAGGATAAGGATGGGGAGCGGAAAGAAAAAAATTGTTATTATTTGGAGATTATAAATGTTTGTAAGTTACCTATGAGAATTAACAAACAATTAGAACTAGTAACAACTTTCAACAAAAGTTGCCCAGAAAATGAAATACCATTTTTAATAACTATAAAACCCACAAAGTAACAAAAAATGTACAGGACTTTGGTAGAAAAAAAGTTATGATCCTAAATGTGAATACAATCAAATGTGAATAAATAAAAGGAAATATTCTGTTCATGGATGCAAAATGTAGTAAAGAGATCAGTCCTCCCACAAATTAATCTATATATTCAGGAATACAACAATCAAAATCTCAGGAGCATTTTGGCAGGGAGACTGACAAGATGATTCTAAAATTCATATGGAAGTATAAATACCTACTATTATCTAAATCAGTTTGAAAAAGAAAAGCAAAAGGAGGGGAATCACCCTACCCAGATCATATTGTGAAGCCATAGAGATTAAAACAGTGTGGTACTGATGCAGAAACAGGCAAACAGACCATGGAGGTCAATGCCAAGTCCTGAAACACACCAAAGTACACATGGGAAGCTGATGTGTGAGGGAAGTAGCTTCACTAGTTAGGAGGAAACATGGGCTTCTTTCTTTTCCTCCCTCACTCCGTCCCTTCCTTCCTTTTTTGTATGTTATTATAAAATTGCCTTAGTGAAAATAAAACTACCATACGACCCAGAATCCCACTACTGGGCATATACCCTGAGAAAACCATAATTCAAAAAGAGTCATGTACCACAATGTTCATTGCAGCTCTATTTACAATAGCCAGGACATGGAAGCAACCTAAGTGTCCATCAACAGATGAATGGATAAAGAAGATGTGGCACATATATACAGTGGAATATTACTCAGCCATAAAAAGAAACGAAATTGAGTTATTTGTAGTGAGGTAGATGGACCTGGAGTCTGTCATACAAAGTGAAGTAAGTCAGAAAGGGAAAAATAAATACTGTATGCTAACACATATATATGGAATTAAAAAAAAAAAAAGGTTCTGAAGAACCTAGGGGCAGGACAGGAATAAAGACGCAGACATAGAGAATGGACTTGAGGACACAGGGAGGGGGAAGGGTAAGCTGGGACAAAGTGAGAGAGTGGCATGGACATATATACACTACCAAATGTAAAATAGATAGCTAGTGGGAAGCAGCTGCATAGCACAGGGAGATCAGCTCGGTGCTTTGTGACCACCTAGAGGGGTGGGATAGGGAGGGTGGGAGGGAGATGCAACAGGGAGGAGATATGGGGATATATGTATATATATAGCTGATTCACTTTGTTATACAGCAGAAACTAACACAAAATTGTAAAGCAATTATACTCCAATAAAGATGTTAAAAAAAAATTGCCTTAGTGAGAGTGTGGAGAGAAATTATACGCCTATCTCACCTGCTATAAAAAAATTCCAGACAGATTTTAAATGCAAAAGCTAAAACACAAAAACAGTAGATAAAAACATAGAATACGGGCTTCCCTGGTGGCGCAGTGGTTGAGAGTCCGCCTGCCGATGCAGGGGACACGGGTTCGTGCCCCGGTCCGGGAAGATCCCACATGCCGCGGAGCGGCTGGTCCCGTGAGCCATGGCCGCTGAGCCTGCGCGTCCGGAGCCTGTGCTCCGCAACGGGAGAGGCCACAACAGCGAGAGGCCCGTGTACCGCAAAAAAAAAAAAAAAAAAAGTAGAATAACTTTGAGAATTTGGAGTAGGGAAAGGTCCAGATTATAATGGGAGAACAGACTCATTTGTCTTCATGGAACTGAGGAAGCATGGTGTAAGCAGCTGCCCCATGAATGTCAGCATTTCCTTCCCTGGTCCAGAACTTACTCAGGGGCAGCCACAAAGAAGGTGGCCCGGCCCTTGTGTTGGCTCCCTGGGGAGGGATGACATGGCTGAGATCTGGACCCAGGGAGGCCCTACAGGTGCCTAAGGCAGAATAAGCTGTCTTGATGGTGTCTTATTTTCTTTGTCTGAATCGCTGCTCTGGTCAGGGGTTCAGACTCACTCTCTGGGGGAATCTTTTAGACAGGAGCCTCAAATACAGGCATGGGTGGCCAGGAGAGACCATGACAACGTCCTCGGAGTGGGCCCTGGGCATTCCATTGCTGTCCTCAGTGTCAGGGTGAGTGTGGGTCACTCTAATGCAGGGTTGGGCAGGTCATCGGTACCTCCCATCAACCCTGACTGAACTTCAGGATCACGCCAGGAACTTGTTAAAAATAAATTGGAAGGCCCACGCCTACTGATTCAGTAGGCGTGAGGCAGCGCAGGAATCTTCGTCTGACTAGATCCCAAGTGTGGGCAAAAGCTGGATCACCTTTCCCGGGTTCAGCAGATCAGAGCTTCTCAGCTTCCCGGGGTGAGAATCACATGGACGGGGGTGCAGGACGTTCGAAGGGGTACGCACATAGGGTGTGTGGGGACGGGATGGGAAGTGCAGTGTTGGGACAGCAGGAAGGGTGTGAGGGGTCCAGCCAGTAGGCTTGGGCACAAGAGGAGCAGAGGCACCAGTGACAGCCCCACTGTAAGCAAACTCTCCCCTTTGTGGCGCTCCCCCTCCCCCTGCCTTGGTGCTGATCCTGTACTGGAATAGCCTGTTAATTGCATGCTTCCTTCACCAACCTGAGCACTCCTTGAGGACAAGACCTTGCATTCATTCATTCATACATTCATTCATTCCACAAATAGTTATTAAGACATTCATACACCAGGGACAGGTGCTAACAGGAAGCACGGCTGAGTCAGCCCACCAGAGCCTGTGGTCTGGTAAGGAGGCAGGTGGAAGACCAAGCGGCTCTCATAAGGTGTGTTGAAAGCTCTGATGGAGAAGCAGCAACACATACTAGGGACACCTAGCCCCAGCTTGAGCCATCTGGAAAGGCTGCCTGGAAGAAGGGAAGTCTAAGAGGGTGGTGAATGGAGCAATCACCATGGAGAAAGAGGTCTGTTTCAGACCCACGTGCAGGAGTTTTTACTTCAGTGCTGGGCAGTGAGTGTAATAGGGAGAAATGGAAGGTCTCACCCTACACTTGGCTGGAACCCAGCTTGGGACCTGGCCCAGGGCAGCTGCAGTGCATGTGTGGTGAACTGGCCGGGCTGACCCTGGCTCCTGGCCCCCTACTCCTCCGATGATTCCCTTCTGTTCCTGGGCTGGGCTGGCTCCCCTTCTGGGAACCAGGCAGTATTTTTCTGGCAGCACCTGGGAATATTAGACGCTTCTCCAAGTTGGTATGGGCCACACTGCCCAGAGGTGGGGAAACTGAGGCTGGGCGAATGGCGTGATGTCCCAGGAGTCTCATAAGCACTGAGCTCCCCTGAACTGTCAAGGCTGTTAAAAACTGCTCCTGAGAGAATGAAATCTCTCTCGGTCTCTTCCGGGGCGAGTGGCCTAGGCCTAGGTCTGCGTTCGGGCCCTCGGGGCATCCCCCAAACTAGCTCAGGGCCTGGCACTTGGCAGGACTGCACCAGGTGTGTGAACTGCATGGACGCGTTTACTCAGTCCCTGGACAGTGTGCCTTCCAAGCCCCCAGGTGGGAAGGGCAGGCCCTTTCTCCACCTTCAGAGGTCCCAGGCCTACCGTGGATCTGATCCGGAGTTGGCCTCGTCCTCCGGGGACTTGCGGCACGGTGATAGTGATGGCCGTCCCTTCCGTTTTACTGATCCGTGTTCTGTGCCAGGCACCGATACACTCTTACGCTGTCCATCCCAGAAAACCCTGGTCGTGGTGCAGGGGCGGCCCTCGTGAGGGGTGGGTAGTGCACTCAGTAAACATATTCCGAGACTGAGACTTGTGGGGAGGGGGTTCAGCACCCTCAGAATCAGGTTACGCGATGGTTAGGCGACAGGATTGTCAATTCCCCTCAGGGACCTCCCCCCCACCCCACCCAAGGGATGTGGCGGGACTCACCCAGCAGGCCCTGGAGGGAGCTGTGCTGTGACCATAGGATCTGGCCCAGGGGCCTCCCTGCCGGGGACAGGGGGGCTTGGGGGGGGGCCGAGAGCCAAGGAGGGGCACGTCCACTCCCCAGTTGCCCCTGGAAACAACACGGTGCCCTTTTTGGCCTTTTATATTGGCACCAGTTACCTCTGGAGTCAGCACAATCACAATATATTAAGTGAAAAAAGCAGCCTGCAAAAAAGCACTGTGACCTCAATTTCTGTGAAAACTGCACATACTTGTTTCTGGAAAAGACTGGAAGGAAACGCATCAACCTGGTAATGACAGCTATCACCGGGCGGCGTTCTCTCATAAAAGATTTTCCCTTTCGTTTAGCTGTATTTGCTAATTTTTTCTACAGGGGCTATGATTACTTGTGTCATTAAAGGGAATAAGGGGGACAGAATCTGCAAGAAGCAAACTCGGGTGTCACCCTGGGGAAGGCCCGGGTTGGGGTTCTGCGCTTCCACTGGGAAAGTGGGCTAGGGGCGAGGGGAGGGCGGAGGGTCACGGCAGAGCTGCCCCTCTGTGCCTCCTGAGCCAGGAGCTGGAGGCCAAGGTCAGGTCAGTGTCAGGCTGCACGTGGGCGCCTTCGGGCTGGTTGTCCCCCCGCCTGGCCGCCTGCTGCACTCCTTGAGGGCAGGCCAGCTTCCAGTTTCCAGGGTAGGTCAGTGCAGCTCTGTGCTTGGGAGTGGGAACCCGCCTGGTTCCGCAGGGCGGGCAGGTCTCAAGTCTAACTTCCCCTCGGGGCTTCTGTTCCCTAGATCCACTTCCCGGACGTGGAGCGGGTCGAGTGGGCCAACAAGGTAAGGCCAGGGTGGGCCTGGGGGCACCGGCCTCACTCCAGGCTTCGTCCTCCCTTGCAGCCCTGGCTGAGTCACCCGAAGCCTGGACGGGGCGGGCAGCGCGTGGACAAGGCGGTCCTGGTGGGAGCCCTGCCCGGGGAGGAGCAGAGATAGCCCTTAGTCGCTGGGGTGGGGGCCTTCTGCCTGTCGCTTGCTCTTCCCACCCTCCGGGTTCTTCTCATCACCAATGACTTTCTTTTCTAAAAAGAAACTATTTTTTATTGTGAAATTAATGCATGGCCACAGCAGAAAACTTAAAAGTACAGAGAAGCACAGAGCAAAATGCAGGCCCACCAGGCCGAGATCAGCGCATCCTGGGGAGAGGAAGGCAGTGATTCGGGATTTGACAGCAGCTCCTGATCACCGAAGCAGCCTGGTGATCAGGGAACCAGGGTTTCGCCTGGTTCCCAGCCCGGATCTGGCGGCACTGGCTGTGCAACCTCGAGCAGGTTGCCTAACGTCTCAGAGTTGGTCCCCTCCTTTGTGCGATGGGAATAATGATGGTCCCTGCCTCATGGGGTTGTTGTGAGTATTAATGAGGTAATTAAAACACCACAATGCCTGGCTCATCGAGGCCTGAGAGGGATAGAAACTCTGAAACTGCACTTCCTTTAGGCTCCTCTGATTAGGGTTTGTAAAGGAGGAGCTGCATCTTTAAACTAAGGCCCAAGTCCCAGAGATGGAAGAGGCCTTTGCCCCAAACAGAACATATGGGCTGCTCTCCCCCCCAACCAACTCCCTCTCCCCGCTCCTTACCATCTGCTCACCATCTTCTGCCACCAGGTTCCATCTCTCCACCACCTTCCCTCTCCCCAGGTCCTACACTTGGTTCCCAGCACCATGAGTCGTCCTGCTGCAGAACTCAGCTACAGGCAGCCTTCCCCGATTGCTAGAAAAAAAATTAAATCCACAGGAAACAACTTAAATTTCTCTTCTGTGGCTTTTTTTCCCTTTTCTTTTCTTCTTAAACCTCTGGCACGTGCTACTTCTTGTTTACACCATAGTGTTGTTCAGGTAGCTTATGTTTCAGCACAGAACTAAAGGGCCTCATCATGTTAAGTTTAGCGGGTGACTATTTCATGGTGGGCTGCGAAATGACAGCAAATCTTGGGATCTAACTGTAAGAGTGAGAACCACGGCTGTAGTTATCCGATGTCTGATGGACAGATGGACGGATAGGTGGGTAGATGGGACAGGGGGTCAGGCAGGCAGATGGGTCCTGCAGCATAAGGGCCACTCCTGAGCAGCCATGGGTCTGGGCCAGGGGGCACAGACCTGACCACCAAAGGCCCCTTCCTGTCCTCCCAGGTCATCTCCCACATCTGGCCCTACCTAAGCATGATCATAGAAAACAAGTTCCGGGAGAAACTCGAGCCCAAGATCCGGGAGAAGAACGTGCACCTGAGGACCTTCACCTTCTCCAAGCTCTACTTCGGACAGAAGGTCAGTGCTGTCTCGGGCAGGGCAGCCGGACCTACGGTGCAGGCTTTTCTCCAGCCCCTGCCAGGGGTCACTCACAGGGGGCCCATTCCCCACCTGCACTTCCCAGCCTCTCGGCCTCAGGCTAAACCCCTCAGTCCCTAGTCCCATCACCACCATCTCTACAGGTTCCGGGGAAGCCTGGCTCAGAGAAAAGGTACAGGAGAGGTGGGAAATAATTCCACCCTTCTTAAGCAAAATTTAGAGAACATGCCATGTGGTGGTGGAAGCCAGCCTGACACAAAGACGTACAAGTCACGCTTCCTAGCCTCAGCATCAGCTGGGGAGAACTCACCACGGTGGAGCGGGGTAGTCAGTGCCTCAAAGCAGTGACTAATTCTCTACCTATTGGTTGATGCTGGCTATCCGTGTCATAAGCCCAGGCTAGTTCTGTGAAGATACTTGGTGACCCAGGATAAAAGTGTGTGTGTTGAACACACCTAATGTCATGTCCCTATTCTAGGCTGCATTTCCTATTCCAGCCTCTTGCCCCACTCTTTCTGCCCCTCAGTGCCCCACTGATGTAAAAGTGTTATTTTGATCATCAGAAAATGCATACCCCAGGCAGAGCCGCTGTGAGCTCCATCACCCCGCACATCAGAGGCACTGGTATCTGGTCAGCTCCAGAAGAAGCAGATGCAGAGGGCAGGCCAGCCTGAGGAGAGCTGTCGGCCAGCCCCGGGGTGTGTGCCCCGCTGGCCTCCTGAGTGGCGGCAGATCAGGCTTACCTGAGCCCTGAAGGTTCTGGCTGAAGCCACTCAGGCTCTGCCAGGACTCGCTCGTCCCAGCATCTGTTGGCTCATTTGTTCTTTCCCTGTTTCACTCACGTATGGCTTCCTGAGCATGGCCGTGTGCAAGGCACTGTAGACAGAGATGGTGTGGCTGTGCCCCTGCCTTCAGGAAGGTCCCTGTCCTGTCGTGGAGACAGACGTACAAATTGGTGGGTGACGGACACCCCCATGGCAGTGCATGCACGACGTGGAGGAACCCGTGGCTTCAGCAGTGGCGGGGTGTGGGAGTGTGGTAGTCAGGGAGGATTTCTGGGAGGGGTGATGTCTGAGTTGGCGTTTGAAGAACTCAGCAGGCAAAGAGGTAGGAAGCTTGCGGACCGCTGTGTTCATAGCAGAGCCTGCCCGGCCAGGCTGCTTGTTGGGTGGTGATGCCGGTGGGACAGCGGGCCCTTGCTGGTGGCGGAAGCAGGCAGGCCTAGTGATGTCAGAGAGACCGCAGTGAGCGGTCCTGAAGCGAGATCTTAGTTCCCTACCCAGGAATTGGACCTGGGGAGCCTGGATGAAAACCAGGAATCCTAACCGCTAGACCACCGGGGGCTATAGGCTAGAAGCAAAGTGGCCCTGACACTTGCCCCCATTTGAAAGCAAGAATGTTTCAAGGAGGCAAAAGCTGTAATAACAGGTACAAAGTTTATTATCAGAGACACAGCATAACATGTGAGAGAACACGCGGAGAAATTGTTTAAGGCAGAATGGAGGTAGAAATACACACCCAGAGAGAAAGGCGGTGGGCATCCTCCCTAATGAGGAGGAGGGCCGTAGAGGCCGTTAAATCGTCTTATGTAGGGCAGTTCTTCCGGGTCTTCGTTTACATTTGGCCAATGGTCTCATTTCTTTTCCCACATCTGACTGGTCCTAGGACCCTCCCCAAGATGCGTGCGCAACTTTTTGCTAAGATGGATCCCACTGCAGAGGACTGTGGGTGCATGTCCACACTTATTATAGGGGGGCGCCCCCTCCCTTTTTGACCCCCAAGGACCCTTCCTGCGCATGTGAAGACAGAGACGTTTTCCTTGACCTCAGGACTGGTCATCTTATCTCTTTACTTCAGCAGAGCTCAGCTCTTGCCACCAACTTTGTCCTTGGAGCGTCTGGGGAAAAACAAAGCTTCAAATTGACTCCGCTTGACAAACACCAGCTGTCCAGCCAGGGACCCATCCATCTCCCATCTCACTAGGAGTGGCTAATCCTGAGAGATGATTTTCACCCTGTCACGAAAACCGGGGGGGGGGGGGGGGGGGGGGGGGGGGGGCACCTGCAAGTTGACCAGATGCCCCAGCCCCGCAGGAGAAATAGCTGGCTTCTGGCCCTGCATTCAAAGCCCTTCGTGTTCTGGCTCCTCCCACACCTCTTAGCTCTCCCATCCCTCTCCTCTCCACTGCGGGGGAAGGCGGGGGCATCACAGAGGCCTTCCTCACGTGAGCTTCCTGGGCTTGGCCAGGCTCAGTGCGCTCACTACACCCACTCCCTTCACGCCCATGAGTGTTTCCTGCTTCCTCTGATTCCCACGTCCATGCCCAGCTCTGCTCACTGCTGTGATGACCTTGGGCCAGTGACTTAACCTCTCTGAGCTCCAGTTTCCTCATCTGTAAAAAGAAAGGAATCACTTCTAAGGGTGGTTGTGAAGCATGACTAACAGGCCTGGCGTCAGGGCCACTCTGCGTGGGTGGGTGAGCAGTGCTCCACGTGGGGCACCTGACCAGCCTGACGCCCCACGCTCACTGTGAGCCCTGAGCCAGGGCCGCCCTGCCTGGCACAGAGGAAACGCTCACAGTGGTAACTCCTCCTCTCTGTGGCGGGGCCTCCAGGTAGGCAGCCTTCTCCAGGGCTGGTCTCTGCAGATGGGGGTCTTGGGGCTGGCTGAGCTTCCACAGGTGCCTGCAAACCAGCCCCCAGCCCAGGAGCAGACTTCAGGCTGGGGCAGGTTGGTGACAGGCCCCTTCCTCCTCCCGAGGCTTCTGCTGGTTTTTCTGGGTCTTCTACATCAAGCCAGGTGCTGTGTGGCCTAAAGCTTCTACAATTCTGGGGGCCCTCTTAAAGAAAAAGAATTTTTTTTACATCTTTATTGGAGTATAATTGCTTTACAATGGTGTGTTATTTTCTGCTTTATAACGAAGTGAATCAGTTATACATATACATATGTTCTCATATCTCTTCCCTCTTGTGTCTCCCTCCCTCCCACCCGCCCTATCCCAACCCTCTAGGCGGTCACAAAGCACCGAGCTGATCTCCCTGTGCTATGCGGCTGCTTCCCACTAGCTATCTATTTTACGTTTGGTAGTGTATATATGTCCATGCCACTCTCCCACTTTGTCACAGCTTACCCTTCCCCCTCCCCATATCCACAAGTCCATTCTCTAGTAGGTCTGTGTCTTTATTCCCGTCTTACCCCTAGGTACTTCATGACATTTTTTTTTCTTAGATTCCATATATATGTGTTAGCATACGGTATTTGTCTTTCTCTTTCTGACTTACTTCACTCTGTATGACAGACTCTAGGTCCATCCACCTCATTGCAAATAGCTCAATTTCGTTTCTTTTTATGGCTGAGTAATATTCCATTGTATATATGTGCCACATCTTTATCCATTCATCTGATGATGGACACTTAGGTTGTTTCCATGTCCTGGCTATTGTAAATAGAGCTGCAATGAACATTTTGGTACATGCCTCTTTTTGAATTATGGTTTTCTCAGGGTATATGCCCAGTAGTTGGATTGCTGGGTCATATGGTAGTTCTATTTGTAGTTTTCTAAGGAACCTCCATACTGTTCTCCATAGTGGCTGTACCAATTCACATTCCCATCAGCAGTGCAAGAGTGTTCCCTTTTCTCCACACCCTCTCCAGCATTTATTGTTTGTAGATTTTTTGATGATGGCCATTCTGACTGGTGTGAGATGATATCTCATTGTAGTTTTGATTTGCATTTCTCTAATGATTAATGATGTTGAGCATTCTTTCATGTGTTTGCTGGCAATCTGTATATCTTCTTTGGAGAAATGTCTATTTAGGTCTTCTGCCCAGTTTTGGATTGGGTTGTTTGTTTTTTTGTTATTGAGCTGCATGAGCTGCTTGTAAATTTTGGAGATTAATCCTTTGTCAGTTGCTTCATTTGCAAATATTTTCTCCCATCCTGAGGGTTGTCTTTTGGTCTTGTTTATGGTTTCCTTTGCTGTGCAAAAGCTTTGAAGTTTCATTAGGTCCCATTTGTTTATTTTTGTTTTTATTTCCATTTCTCTAGGAGGTGGGTCAAAAAGGATCTTGCTGTGATTTATGTCATAGAGTGTTCTGCCTATGTTTTCCTCTAAGAGTTTGATAGTTTCTGGCCTTACATTTAGGTCTTTAATCCATTTTGATCTTATTTTTGTGTATGGTGTTAGGGAGTGATCTAATCTCATACTTTTACATGTACCTGTCCAGTTTTCCCAGCACCACTTATTGAAGAGGCTGTCCTTTCTCCACTGTACATTCCTGCCTCCTTTATCAAAGATAAGGTGACCATATGTACGTGGGTTTATCTCTGAGCTTTCTATCCTGTTCCATTGATCTATATTTCTGTTTTTGTGCCAGTACCATATTGTCTTGATTATTGTAGCTTTCTAGTGTAATCTGAAGTCAGGGAGCCTGATTCCTCCAGCTCCATTTTTCGTTCTCAAGATTGCTTTGGCTATTCGGTGTCTTTTGTGTTTCCATACAAATTATGAAATTTTTTGTTCTAGTTCTGTGAAAAATGCCAGTGGTAGTTTGATAGGGATTGCATTGAATCTGTAGATTGCTTTGGGTAGTAGAGTCATTTTCACAATGTCGATTCTTCCAATCCAAGAACATGGTATATCTCTCCATCTATTTGTATCATCTTTAATTTCTTTCATCAGTGTCTTATAATTTTCTGTATACAGGTCTTTTGTCTCCTTAGGTAGGTTTATTCCTAGATATTTTATTCTTTTTGTTGCAATGGTAAATGGGAGTGTTTTCTTGATTTCACTTTCAGATTTTTCATCCTTAGTGTATAGGAATGCCAGAGATTTCTGTGCATTAATTTTGTATCCTGCTACTTTACCAGATTCATTGATTAGCTCTAGTAATTTTCTGGTAGCATCTTTAGGATTCTCTATGTATAGTATCATGTCATCTGCAAACAGTGACAGCTTTACTTCTTCTTTTCCAATTTGGATTCCTTTTATTTCCTCTTCTTCTCTGATTGCTGTGGCTAAAACTTCCAAAACTATGTTGAATAACAGTGGTGAGAGTGGGCAACCTTGTCTTGTTCCTGATCTTAGTGGAAATGCTTTGTTTTTCACCATTGAGGACGATGTTGGCAGTGGGTTTTTCATATATGGCCTTTATTATATTGATGAAAATTCCCTCTATGCCTACTTCCTGGAGGATTTTTATCATAAATGGGTGTTGAATTTTGTCGAAAGCTTTCTCTGCATTTATTGAGATGACCATATGGTTTTTCTCCTTCGGTTTGTTAATATGGTGTATCACTTTGATTGATTTGCGTATATTGAAGAATCCTTGCATTCCTGGAATAAACCCCACTTGATCATGGTGTATGATCTTTTTAATGTGCTGTTGGATTCTGTTTGCTAGTATTTTGTTGAGGATTTTTGCATCTATGTTCATCAGTGATATTGGCCTATAGTTTTCTTTCTTTGTGACATCCTTGTCTGGTTTTGGTATCAGGGTGATGGTGGTCTTGTAGAATGAGTTTGGGAGTGTTCCTCCCTCTGCTATATTTTGGAAGAGTTTGAGAAAGATAGGTGTTAGCTCTTCTCTAAATTTTTGAAAGAATTCGCCTGTGAAGCCATCTGGTCCTGGGCTTTTGTTTGTTGGAAGATTTTTTTTTTTTTAAAGTTACTTTTTTTTTTTTTTAATTTATTTTTGGCTGTGTTGGGTCTTCGTTTCTGTGCGAGGGCTTTCTCTAGTTGTGGCAAGCAGGGGCCACTCTTCATTGCGGTGCATGGGCCTCTCACTATCGCGGCCTCTCTTGTTGCAGAGCACAGGCTCCAGACGCGCAGTCTCAGTAATTGTGGCTCACGGGGCTAGTTGCTCTGTGGCATGTGGGATCTTCCCAGGCCAGGGCTCAAACCCGTGTCCCCTGCATTAGCAGGCAGATTCTCAACCACTGCACCACCAGAGAAGGCCTGTTGGAAGATTTTTAATCATAGTTTCAATTTCAGTGCTTGTGATTGGTCTGTTCATATTTTCTGTTTCTTCCTGATTCAGTCTTGGCAGGTTGTTCATTTCTATGAATTTGTCCATTTCTTCCAGGTTGTCCATTTTATTGGCATAGAGTTGCTTGTAGTAATCTCTCATGATCCTTTGTATTTCTGCAGTGTCAGTTGTTAATTTTCCTTTTTCATTTCTAATTCTATTGATTTGAGCCCTCTCCCTTTATTTCTTGATGAGTCTGGCAAATGGTTTATCAATTTTGTTTATCTTCTCAAAGAACCAGCTTTTAGTTTTATTGATCTTTGCTATTGTTTCCTTCATTTCTTTTTCATTTATTTCTGATCTGATCTTTATGATTTCTTTCCTTCAGCTAACTTTGGGGTTTTTTTGTTCTTCTTTCTCTAATTGATTTAGGTGCAAGGTTAGGTTGTTTATTCGAGGTGTTTCCTGTTTCTTAAGGTAGGATTATATTGCTATAAACTTCCCTCTTAGAACTGCTTTTGCTGAATCCCATAGGTTTTGGGTCACAGTGTCTCCATTGTCATTTGTTTCTAGGTTTTGTTTTTTACTTCCTCTTTGATTTCTTCAGTGATCACTTCGTTATTAAGTAGTGTATTGTTTAGCCTCCATGTGTTTGTATTTTTTACAGATTTCTTCCTGTAATTGATACCTAGCCTCATAGTGTTGTGGTCGGAAAAGATACTTGATACAATTTCAATATTCTTAAATTTACCAAGGCTTGATTTGTGACCCAAGATGTGATCTATGCTGGAGAATGTTCCATGAGCACTTGAGAAGAATGTGTATTCTGTTGTTTTTGGATGGAATGTCCTATAAATATCAATTAAGTGCATCTTGTTTAATGTATCATTTAAAGCTTGTGTTTCCTTATTTATTTTCATTTTGGATGATCTGTCCATTGGTGAAAGTGGGGTGTTAAAGTCCCCTACTATGATTGTGTTACTGTCGATTTCCCCTTTTATGGCTGTTAGTATTTGCCTTATGTATTGTGGTGCTCCTAGGTTGGGTGCATAAATATTTACAGTTGCTCCTATGTTGGGTCATAGATATTTACAATTGTGATATCTTCTTCTTGGATCGATCCCTTGATCATTATGTAGTGTCCTTCTTTGTCTCTTCTAATAGTCTTTATTTTAAAGTCTATTTTGTCTGATATGAGAATAGCTATTCCAGCTTTCTTTTGGTTTCCATTTGCATGGAATATCTTTTTCCATCCCCTCACTTTCAGTCTGTATGTGTCTCTAGGTCTGAAGTGGGTCTCTTGTAGACAGCATATATATGGGTCTTGTTTTTGTATCCATTCAGCCAGTCTGTGTCTTTTGGTGGGAGCATTTAATCCATTTACATTTAAGGTAATTATCGATATGTATGTTCCTATTCCCATTTTCTTAATTGTTTTTTGTTTGTTATTATAGGTCTTTTCCTTCTCTTTTGTTTCTTGCCTAGAGAAGATCCTTTAGCATTTGTTGTAAAGGTGGTTTGGTGGTGCTGAACTCTTTCAGCTTTTGCTTGTCTGTAAAGGTTTTAATTTCTCCATCAAATCTGAATGAGATCCTTGCTTGGTAGGGTAATCTTGGTTATAGGTTTTTCTCCTTCATCACTTTAAATATGTCCTGCCAGTCCCTTCTGGCTTGCAGAGTTTCTGCTGAAAGATCAGCTGTTAACCTTATGGGGATTCCCTTGTGTGTTATTTGTTGTTTTTCCCTTGCTGCTTTTAATATGTTTTCTCTGTATTTAATTTTTGACAGTTTGATTATTATGTGTCTTGGCGTGTTTCTCCTTGGATTTATCCTGTATGGGATTCTCTGTGCTTTCTGGACTTGATTAACTACTTCCTTTCCCATATTAGGGAAGTTTTCAACTATAATCTCTTCAAATATTTTCTCAGTCCCTTTCTTTTTCTCTTCTTCTTCTGGAACCCCTATAATCCGAATGTTGGTGCGTTTAATGTTGTCCCAGAGGTCTCTGAGACTGTCCTCAGTTCTTTTCATTCTTTTTTCTTTATTCTGCTCTGCAGTAGTTATTTCCACTATTTTATCTTCCAGGTCACTTATCCGTTCTTCTGCCTCTCTTATTCTGCTATTGATCCCTTCTAGAGTATTTTTAATTTCATTTATTGTGTTGTTCATCATTGCTTGTTTCATCTTTAGTTCTTCTAGGTCCTTGTTAAATGTTTCTTGCATTTTCTCTATTCTATTTCCAAGATTTTGGATCATCTTTACTATCATTATTCTGAATTCTTTTTCAGGTAGACTGCCTATTTCCTCTTCATTTGTTAGGTCTGGTGGGTTTTTATCTTGCTCCTTCATCTGCTGTGTGTTTTTCTGTCTTCTCCTTTTGCTTATCTTACTGTGTTTGGGGTCTCCTTTTTGCAGGCTGCAATTTTGTAGTTCCCGTTGTTTTCGGTGTCTGTCCCCAGTGGCTAAAGTTGGTTCAATGGGTTGTGTAGGCTTCCTGGTGGAGGGGACTAGTGCCTGTGTTCTGGTGGATGAGGCTGGATCTTGTCTTTCTGCTGGGCAGGTCCACGTCTGGTGGTGTGTTTTGGGGTGTCTGTGGACTTATTATAATTTTAGGCAGCCTCTCTGCTAATGGGTGGGGTTGTGTTCCTGTCTTGCTAGTTGTTTGGCATAGGGTGTCCAGCACTGTAGCTTGCTGGCCGTTGAGTGAAGCTGGGTGTTGGTGTTGAGATGGAGATCTCTGGGAGATTTTCGCCATTTGATATTACGTGGAGCTGGGAGGTCTCTTGTGGACCAGTGTCCTGAAGTTGGTTCTCCCACCTCAGAGGCATAGCACTGACTCCTGGCTGCAGCACCAAGAGCCTTTCATCCACACGGCTTGGGAAGGAGGCGGCCAGGGCAAAGAAAAAGAATTTTAAACTTAAAGTGTAAAACCAGGACAAAAATGAATGTTGAATAAATATGAGAACATATGAGAAAATAAATCACAACTAGTTGTACTTTTACAAAAGCTGACATATCACACATATCACAAACTCTGGGAAAAGTTACATAATCATTTAAATGAACTGTTCAAGGTATCCCTGTAATACTTTTGTTCCTGCATTTTTGGCTCCATACTCTTTGATAACCTTTGCATGTGACAGTGCATTTGTAAGCATCACTTTCCATGGAGAGAATAGAAGGATAATAGAATCTTTCCTCTAGTGTGGTCGATTGAATTTTTTTCTCCAACATTTTATTATGAAAAATTTTTGTTTGTTTGGAGAGGGAGGTGTCAGGGTGCCGAGGATGGGCAGGGACTGCAGGGTGGATTTCTGCTTTCATGCCTCATCCCGGGAGTGCAGTGGTCATGCTGGTTGTTGTGGACAAAGCCCAGCTCTGGGCAGGGAGCCAGCAGCACCCCACCCCCTGCCCCCTGCCTGCAAGACCCCTGCTGACCCAGTCTTCTGGCATCTCTTCCAGTGCCCCAGGATCAACGGCATCAAGGTGCACACTAACAAGTGCAACCGGAGACAGGTGGTCCTGGACCTGCAGATCTGGTGAGCCCTCGTGCCCCTGGGGCCAGGTGTGGAGGGCGGGGGAACACTGTGGGAACAGCCAGGTTGAAGATGGAGTTGCAGGGAAACACTCATTTGGGGTGTGAAAGCCCCTCACAGCACATATGCCCCTTCATCCCCCTGGGCTGGAGCACAAGGTCCCTGCTGGGATGGGGAGGAGTGGCAAGAGAACGGATGGTCCCAGGGGAGCCACTACTGTCTGAGCCCTCAGCCCAGGCCTGGCTTCTCCCATAGACCAGGCACCAGGCGTGTTTTGGGTACCAAGGCCTGGGCAACAGAGCTTTCTTGGAGGCCAGGTCACCTGGAGGGTCAGACCAGCTGTCTCAGAGAGGATGTAGCAAGAGAAAGCAAGTGTGACGAGAAAATGTGGGGACTTGTGGTGCAACCCAGGGAGCTCCGAGCACAGGCTGTGAAAGGCCAGCAGGAGAACTGGGCTCTGTGGTACCTCAGAAAAACTAAAGGATGCAAGGACACACAGGTGACTTGTTCAGTGTGTCGGGCAGGGGCAACCCTTTTGAATGAGGTTTGTAATAGGCTTGAGTTAGAGAGAATGGAGAGTCAATCCAGGAAGTCTTCCTGGAGGTGGTGGGATTTGAACTGTGCTTAAAGGACCAAGGATAAACTCCTGAGGTTCCAGAAGGTTGCCATTCACTTCCAGTGCCTCTGTATTTCCTGTCCTTAGTCCAGAGGCTGGCGCTGAGAACACGTTGGGAAGACAGGAGGCAACTCCAGAACACCCATCACTATATGGGGGCTGGTCTCAAGTGTGTTGAGATGGTAATGGCAATTGGGCCCTCCTGGCCCCAAGGCTCTGCCACAAGATCCTGTGTGAATAGTTGGGGCACGTCAAGGTCATCTAGCCCACGCGCCCAGCTTTCCAGTCATCTCAGGGAGCCCCTGGGGTCCCTGGGTTCCCCCTGCCCTTCCAGGGGACACTCAGCATTTCTGTGACGTCTGGCTCCTCTGCCTGTGCCATGCAGATATTTGATGGCCACCCTGTCCCTCTGCATCTCCTTCAGTCTTTTGATGGGGTCTCTGCTCTCTACTTTCAAGGGCACCCATTCTGGGCTTCCTGTGCCCATCACATGGCAGGAGTTGTCAGCTGAACTCAGGCTTCTGAGAACTTGTTACTGTGCCCACCTCACCACCCCCAGCAACAGCCTGCATGAATGGTGGATGGAGGCTGCGGGGCTGCTCTGTGTCCCTGGGGAAGAGGCCTGGGTAGAGATGGGGCAGAGGCATAGCAGTGTGTGCACCCAGACCCCCTCCTTCGCATCTGCGGGGTGTCGTGGGGCGAAGTGGTGCCCAGAGGTCTCTGCCCTCGTGGGCAGAGGGGGGATGCACGTGGGACCTCTGGGTGTGGGGACCCCGGGGGCTGCCTTGGGGGGTCTGGGCAGTGTCTGCGCAGAGCTGAGAAAAGCCGAGGCTGTCAGGGAGTCCACATCCAGGTGATGCAGGGCTCAGGCTTGGCCATCTGGGCTTGGGCTGGGCTGCACTGGGCAAGTCTCCCAACCTCTCCTGAGTCGTGGACCTGCCCCTCCTCTCTACCTTCCTTCTCCCTCCCCACTTTCAGCTACATCGGGGACTGTGAGATCAGCGTGGAGCTGCAGAAGCTACAGGCTGGTGTGAATGGGATCCAGGTGGGTGGAGCCCGGCGTGACTGCCTCCAGGTTGTGGGTCAAGGCAGGGGAAGCGGGCTTATGCTGGAGGAGGCTGCAGCGGGGGTGTTGACACCAAGCACAGAGGCTAGTACCAATCAAGGGATTCCAGGTCCGAGATCATAGGGCCAGGAAGTGGTGGCTGGGTTTCACCACCCCGCCGCTCAGGACAGCCCCACATCTGCCTCTGTTCATCAAACCCCCCTGCCAGAGAGGCTTCGACTGCCCTGGGAAGTGAGAGGCTCTCTTTATTAAACGGTGCAGAGCCGATGCTGAGAAACTGAGGTGGAAGGAGGAGATAGAGCTATTTTATGGTAGGAGTAGAGGAGCTGAGCTGGAGCTGGAAAGCACTCCTGGGTCCCGACCATGGTCAAGGCTGCAGCCCCCAGGCAGCAAGGCAGTGGGGGGCAGTGGGGGCCAGCTTGTGGCCCTTGGAAACCGGCAGAGGGGTGGAAGCTGCACGCTGGCTTCTTTTCCCCAAGTGTGGTCCCTGCTGTGACGGCAGGTGGCCCTGACATCTGGGGATGGCTTGGGCATGAAGGAGCAGAGCAGGTGCGGGAGGAAGGGCGGCTGAGGTTCCTCCCGGCCCTCTGTGCCATCCAGCTGCAGGGCACGCTGCGGCTCATCCTGGAGCCCCTCCTGGTGGACAAGCCCTTCGTGGGAGCTGTGACCATGTTCTTCCTTCAAAAGCCGGTGAGTCCCCAGGACGAGGCGGGCTTGCCGCTCCCTGTGGGCCGGCGCTCGCCCACTGGGCCCAGGTACTGGGTTTGAGCCCAAGAACGCTGCCGAAGCCCACCTGGACCCCCCATCTCATGTGCTCCCTAAGGCGGCCTGAGGTGCTCGACTCTGCTCTCCCCGAGCCCAGGAAACAGCCTGGAGAAGTGGCTGAGGTCACAGAGAGGAGGCTGTAACTCAGAGCCCTCGGATGCCAGGCTGGCCTGTGGCCGTGCCCTCGGGCTGCTCCTGTGGTCCCGGCAGAAGCAGCCCTCCTGACAGCCCTGGTCCTGAGCAGGACTGGGAGGCGCCGTCACCCGCCTCGCCCCCCGCAGAGGGCACCGCCCCCCAGTCGGCTGAATTCTCCATGGGGGCGGGGGCGGGGGCGGGGGCAGGGCCCTTGGCAGAGGGTTCTCAGCCTGGGCTTCTGGTTCCTTCCAGCCTAACGGCCTCCCTCTGCCCCTGCAGCACCTGCAGATCAACTGGACAGGCCTGACCAACCTGCTGGATGTGCCAGGAATCAGGTAAGTGCCTGTGCGAACCGCCAGGCAGGCCCGAGGTGGGGCCCTCCGGGCCGTGCAGCCAGTGATGGGAACCACACCGTGGCTGTGCCCTCCCTCTCCCTCTCTGCACGAGGAGAGGGGTGGGCAGCTGCCCCCTCCCGGGGGATAGCATTGGTGTGTTTGGAGTGACACCATCAGGTGAGATGTCCTAGAGGAGGCCCCGTGGGCTAATGAGGGGCGAGTGCAGGCTCTGGACCCAGGCCAGCCAGACCAGCCTCCTGGCCCCCCCTCAGCCACTGTGTGCCTTTGGACAAGTGACTTCACCTCTCTGGGCTCTTCCTCAGTAAATAGGGAGCCTGGTTCCTCTGTCTTGAGGCCCCTGGGAGAACAGTCAGGTACGTGTGGTGCTGGCACAGCGGGTGTGGATACACACGAGTGTCCTCCTTGTCCACATCCACTCCCTCCCCGACCCAAGTGTGTGTGAGAAGCCCAAGTGGCTCCCGCCCAGACACAGACACTGGCATGGGAGGGGGCAGCTGTCACAGCAGAGGCCAGTGAGGAGGAGCTGGTCTGGGCAACCCACCTTCCTGGGGCCAGTGTGGTGCTGTGCTCAGAGCCTCAGGCCCCTGAGAGGAGCAGAGAAGGGCTCCAGCCCCGTGTGGACACACCTCCCAGGAGGGAGGGACAGTGGACCATCCAGGGTAGCCCCTGGCTGGCTTGCCAGGCCCAGCAGCTGTCCCCACCTGCAGGGAGGACCACTCACTCCCTCACTGGGGACATTCCCACTGATCTTCACCCCCTGGGCACAGAGAATCCAGTCATGCATTCTTTCACTTAGAAGATATTTCCTGAGCACCTACTGCGTGCCGGCCCACTGCCCCTGTCTCCCTCTACTGGCGAGATAGAGTCAGGCAATAAAGAAGGAGGATTTCAAGGTGATGTCAGAGAGTAGAAGGGCTACAACAGTGAACACGTACCTGGCATTTACTGGGCACTAAGCACTGTTCTCAGCACTTCACACGTATTAACTCATCCTCATAACAACCCCAGGAAGTAGGCATAATTATCCCCATTTTAGAGATGAGGAAACTAAGGTCTGGAGAGATCAGCAGCTTTCCAAGGTCACGCAGCTTGTGGGTGACAGAGCCAAGATTCTAACCCAGGATCCATGTCCTCGTTCTTGGCTACCATGCTGTGATGCCTCAGAGAACAAAGCAGGATTGGGGTGGCTGAGGGGCGGTCAAAGTGTACACCCTACATCCGCCCCCTGACCCCCCATCCAGGCAGGCTGGGGTCAGGGCTGCTCTGTCCCGAGATGGGCCCACCTGTCCCCAAGCTCTGCTCCTGGTTCCAGCTCCAGGGATGGGCGGACAGGCAGGCGGCCTGGGGGAGGTGGTGCCGCCCTCCACAGCTTTGCATGCCCACTGTCCCCAGTGAGGTGTCAGACAGCCTGCTGGAGGACCTCATCGCTGCCCACCTGGTGCTGCCCAACCGTGTGACTGTGCCCGTGAAGAAGGGGCTGGACCTGACCAAGCTGCGCTTCCCTCTGCCCTGCGTGAGTACCCGCACGGGCTGCAGAGCGCTGGGCCCAGAGCTGAGGGACAGACGGGCCAGGGAGATGCACCCTCAGATGGCGATGCTCACTTCCGCCCTATGAGGGCCTGGCATCCTATTTTATGGGGCAAAGACTGAGTCTCAGGAAGGTTGAATGACTTGCCCAAAGTCACCCATCTTGGGAGGGAAAAAGCCCAGGGAGCATTCCTTCCTGGATCCTGGTCCCCCCATGCGGCCTGTGTTGGGGACTGTGGGCAGTCACACTCGCTCCCGGGAAACTCCAGGAGCCTCCCATTCTCCCTTCAGGGACAGGAGGCTCCCATTCCATCCTTTGGTGGCAGGAAGAACGCTTACGTCTTCTGGGAAGGAGCCAGGACGTGGGGCTTCCTTGGGTGCTCAGCCCCACTGCCCCCGCCCGTCCTGGGAGCTCAGAAGGCCCCTGAGGAGGGGGCCAGCCCTCAGCGCTGTCCTCAGGAGGACAGCCGCATGGCCTCCCTGCAGAAGGTGCCCTGGCCATGGGGCTGGGAGTCAGGGCCTCAGGAGAGGGGAGAGTGCCTATTTTTACCATCAGAGCCAGGTGTGAGGCATCAGGCCACACAGGGGTGACGCATGGCCCTTACCCCACACTGTGCATCTAGCAGTCTCAGTACAGCACCGTCACCTACATCATAGCTACTGCAGACATTCTGTCCTTAGGGCATATCCCACTAGAGATGTACTGTCAAGTGGCTACAATTTAAACTCACTTGGAATAGTTCCTCTCTGTGTGTCTGTGACAACTGGCCGTGAATATTTACATTGATTTGTTTCCTTCCTCTTTCTGTTTCTAGAGTTTAATTTTTACCTTAACTTCCTTTTACAATCATGTAAAATATTTGCACACTTCTAAAGGCCAGTGTGAAAAACAAACTGTACTTTAAGGAGTCTAGCTTCGACCACCTAGTCCCTCCTCCTCCAGTATTTTTCATTATTTGTTTCCTAATATGAGCACATACACGTATGATCGCTGTGGGTACGCATCTGATTACACGCATAGTCCCCCTTTCTTGGATGGACGGCAGCAGGCCACAGCTCTCCTCACCTTGCTGTCATCATGCATGTGTCATGAGGGTCACCCCATGACAGTGTGGTACGTGGTACTCCACCACGTGAATGTACCGCATCTATTCAACCAGTTCTCTACTGATGGATGGCTGAGCTGTGTCTGGTCTTCTGTTATTTCCAATTATGCTGTCATGAAGAGCCTTGTCCATATCTTTTCATGTTTGCCAGTATGTCTTTAGGATAGATTTCTAGACGTGGGATTGCTGGGTCAAAGGGCAAATGCACATGTATTTACTGATATTTAAAAGAAATAGTTCTAGGCCAGAGGCCTACTGGCCCCCTGAACTGTGTTTTTCCTGGTTCTTGTGCTCTGTTCTGACTTGAGACATAGCCTAGGGTGTTGGGAGTGGGGTGATTCAGTGCTGGGGCCTTTACGAGCCCAGGGACCGACTGCCGCAGCAGGCAGCGGCCACAGGGGTGTGTACACCTGGGTAGTGGGAAGAAATGACACCGGGCCTCAGTCTACGTGTAAGCTAGAGAGGGGCTGGAACGCAGGAGGAAAGCCGCTCGGGTGGCGTGGCAGTTGGCACAGGACGAGGAAGTGGCCGCGGTGGAATGGGCCCTTCACGGGGCAGGCTGGAGGCACGGAGGGGTGGGAGGGCCGGGAATGTGGCCGGGCATCGTGGTGCAGTGGACAGAGCCCTGGGCCCTGCTGTCCCTTGCTGCGTGGCCCTGGCCAAGAGGCTGTCGTCTCTGGCTTCTGTCTCCCTGTCCAGAGATGGGGAGGGTAAGGTGGGGCTGGGGTGATAGCTGATGGCTTGGGCTCTGATGTCGGGGGCTTTGAGGGCCCTAGAAACAGCTGTGAGGCCCGGGCTGGGGCATTTTCCAGGGAGTGATCAGAGCCCACTTGCTGGAGGGAGAAAAGCTGGCCCAGAAGGACAACTTCCTAGGACTCCGAGGCAAGTCAGACCCCTACGCCAAGGTGAGCATCGGCCTGCAGCATTTCCGGAGCAGGACCATCTATAAGAACCTGAACCCCACCTGGAACGAGGTGTTTGAGGTGAGGCTCTCCTTAGCGGCTCCCAGCTGCTCTCCATGCCCTCCAGGGCTCCACTCTGGGTGGTTCTGTCCCAAACAAGGGAGGGCCCTACCTTCACGGTCCTCACACACCCACGGGCAACACAGCCACAGGCGTGGCCCTTGGGAACAGGCTTCCAGAGATGGGCTGCTCTGGCCCCTGATGGAGGGCCAGCCTATTGACAGATTCCTACGTCCCTTCCCAACCAGAGCCGACTTTGTTGGAAGTTTTCAAATCAAATCAAAGAACATCAGGGGCAGTCCTGCCCCAGTCCTCTCAGCCTTCCCTCCCAGAGCCAGACACCGGGAGCCTGAAGTTCTGCCTTAAGTCCAGCCACAACCCTTACCGTGGGAAGGGCAGGCCCGCAGCCTGTTTGAGTGCTGCAGTCTGGAAGCAGCAAGCCCCGGGCAGAAAACACAGCAGCCAGCATCCCGAGCACCCACCCTGCCCACGGGCTTGCACAAGCTGCCTCTAGTCCTCCGCACCCCGCGGGAGAGGGCATCACTCCCTTCTTACAGGTGCGGTTCTCCAGGCACTGAGAAGGGCAGGACCTGCCCGGGGCTCCGAGCTGGCAGGTGGCAGAGCTGGAACCTGGCTCCCCTGGGGTCGTGCTTGAGGTCTGCTTCATCAGCCGTTGTGGCCTGCAGGTCAAGTCACCTCTCTTTCCTTCCAGTTCATAGTGTATGAAGTCCCTGGGCAGGACCTGGTGGTGGACCTGTACGATGAGGACCCTGACAAGGATGACTTCTTGGGCAGGTGAGGAGGAAGGCCATGCTGGGCCTGGGGGCGCAGGGCTCTAGGCCTTGAGGCACAGGTACCCCTGCTTCCACCGCCCTCGCTGCACTCTGACGTGGTGACTGTACCAGGCAACCAGTCCCATCGTTCTGCACCGCTGCCACAAACCTCCCCCCAGACACCTCCCGAGTGCCCAGCCCTGAGCGCCAGCCCTCTGGGGGTACATGGAGGGCCCCCACGTTTGTGTACCGTGGGCTCTGCTTTCTGTGCTCCTCATAATGCACCCAGAGTCCCCGTTTGGAGCAGTGGGCGGGGCCAAGGCTGGCACGGATGGCCAGGCCCCCGGTACCCAGGAACCGTCTGCTCACTCTGAGCTGGCACTTGGCTCCCCTGGGGTCATGCCTGAGGTCTGCTGCATCAGCCGCTGTGGCCTGCAGGTCAAGTCACCTCTCTCTCCTTCCAGTTCAGAGGAACACAGAGCCTCAGGGCTGAGAGAGGATTGAAATGACCGGCGTGGGGCTGGCTATCAAAACTCTAAATTTACATGTGTTTTGGTCCAGCCACCCCAATTCCAGGCATCTCCTATAAAAGCATTATACCTGAAATGTTTATCTGTGGTGACAAACCAAAAAAGCTGGAAACGTGATTGTCCAGAGTCAGAGGACGCCTGAATGTTTCAACAAATTTGTCACTGCCAAACTACAGAATATCCCGCAGCTTTTAAAAATGATGAGTAGGATCTATGTATGTTGACCTCGAGGATATTCAGTTCTATCTAGGGAAGTAGGGGAAGCAGTTGGGAGTGACCTGAGCAGTTGATACAACTTTCCGGGGAGGATGGACACGTACGTGTGTTCGCATGTGCTCGTGTGGACGCTACACCGCTGCTCATCTCAGAGGCTGGGGTTAGGAGGCAGCAGAAAAGAGAATTTTACCCAAATCTTCTTACTCCTAAAATTTTTAGCTTGTTTCTGTGAACAGGTGATTAAAAAAAATAGAAACAAAACAAAATGGGAGGGGAACAATCTGACCACCCGAGAAATAGCTCACCACCACGTTAGTTATTTTTAATTTCTCATCTTAATGAAAGGAGTTGTGAGAAAGGAGTTGTGATTTTTGTAATGTTGCAGATTAGAAGTGTGTCTTGTGGTTCGTGGTTTAGGTAACTGATTTCAAGTGTGTTTTGAGCTCAAGCACATTTCTAACAGTTACATGGAATTAATTCCCCTCTGGCTCTCAGGACGCTCCAGTTGGGCTTGGGTCGGGCGAGGCGGAAGGCACGCCATGAATGTGTTACCGCCTCTCACACACATGCCAACTATACGTAGCCCCTGGAGGGCATCTGGGCCAGTTTTGGAAAGGGAGGGGCATTTCTGGTTATTACAGTGACTGCGGGAGGTGGTGCCACTGGCATTTAGAGGACACACGGCAGAGAGGCTAAATTCCTGCAATGCATGGGCAGTTCTGCACAGTGAAGACTCATCCCAGCCCAAATACCAATAGCACCCTCATTGAGCAATCCTGAGCCAGTGTGTCCAGCAGTGTCTGCTTGTCCCCTCTGGGATCAGAGCCACCTGCCTGCCCGGGCAGCATGCCCAGTGGGAGCAGCCCCGATGGTTAGACAGTCCTTCCTTTGCTTGAGCTCAAAGTGGTCTCCCATTCATTCTTGGGATGAATAAGGTCCTCCGTCTTGAGAGTCCCACTCAGATATTTCAAAATAGATTTCAGAGTGGGCCTCCACGCCCGCTGCTTGTTGCTGCCTCTGGGCTGGGCTGACTTTCCGCTCCCTGTGTATTCCAGCCTACAGATCTGCCTCGGGGACGTCATGACCAACAGAGTGGTGGATGAGGTAGAGTTGGTGCCTGCAAACCCCTCTTTGTGGACAGCATCATTTCCATCCCAAAGTGTAGTACTTCTGTCCTTCCATAACCACCTCTCCTAGTCTTGAGCCTACCCTGTCTGGGCTGGTTCACCTCTTCCCTGACGCCCCTATTAGGGCCCTACTGGGTCCCAGAACTGAGCTGCCTGGAGAGTCAGTAGCGTCCCACTGGCCCTTTCCCCAAGCTCTCCTCCCCCTCCCCCTCCCCCTGCAGTGGTTTGTCCTGAAAGACACAACGAGCGGGCAGCTGCACCTGAGGCTGGAGTGGCTTTCACTGATCACAGACCCGGAAGCTGTGATAGAGGTGAGTGCGGGCTGTCGTGCTCCCTGGCAGAAGCGGGGAGGGGGGAACTTGTGGCAGGTCTGGTCCATGTGAGAGCTGTGCGGGGAGGCAGGGAGGGAGCTAGAGAGCTGAAGCCACAGATCTTGCCCACAGAGTCCTCCAGCCAGCCCCACCTTCTGGGGAGCATGTCCCTCAGCCCTCATCTCCACAAAGGGCGGATGGGATCCTTAAAAGCTCTGTTAGTGCCCATCAGCCCAGTTCATAGGGAAGTCCACTGGTTCTGACTTGAGTCTGTCATGCTGCAGTTGTATTTTCAGCCTCAGCAAGGAGCTAGGTTGTGAGGGAAGGTATGGCCAGTCTGGAGGGCAAGGGCTGGCTCTTCAGGCATGAAGAGGCTTCTCCTAAACCAGTCTGTGTCTCCTGATGCTGGGGGCACCTAGTGAGGGTTTGTGTCTGTTTGTAGGACCATGGTAGTTTTTCCACTGCCATTCTCGTGGTCTTCTTGGAGAGCGCCTGCAACCTGCCGGTGAGTGGTGACACAGCCAGAGTGTCACACACACCCTGCCTTGTGCCCATCACTTTCAAATGTCCACGTGTTGCTCATTCACCCTGTTCTCGTGCTGCAGAGAAACCCTTTTGACTACCTAAATGGTGAATATCAAGCCAAAAAGCTCTCCAAATGTGCCAGGGTAAGTGTGGGTGTGAAAGCAAGTCACACAGCTCCTTTTCCCCAGAGTAACCACAGCCCCGCGTCTGCTGGGCGGTGCTGTGCACACACAGCCCGGGGCCAGTGAGCGCCGCCGTTCACTGAGCCTGCAGCCAGCCAGGCTCCGGGCTTGGCAGCTCATCCCCACACCTGCTATGCCTGAGTCCCATGGTGGCCGTGCATCCATTTTATTGCCATTTTAAAAACAGGACCCGGAAAGCCAAGTGCTTGTGCCACACAGCTAAGGGGGAGCCAGAACTCAATTGCACCCTGTCTCCACAGCTCTAGGGAACAAGGGCCTGTGCCCAGCCAGGCCTCCCATCTTTAACTTGGAAGCTTCCCCTGGGGTCAACCCCGTCTAGGTGCTGGCACAGTGATGGCAGCCGGGGCTCCTGGGAGCACCAGGGGAGCCTTCTCTCAAAGGGAAGTGGTTGGGTGGCCTCAGGTCCCACCGATGCTCCTGAGGGTTGAGAGGCAGGGTCTCAAGTTGGCACTGGGGGTGCCACCTCCATTTTGTGAATTTGTCCCCTCACAGAATAAAGTCAGCAGAGACCCTTCTTCCTATGTCAAGCTATCTGTAGGCAAGAAGACACACCTGAGCAAGGTAAGACAGCTTGGCGTGCAGCCGAGGACTAAGGAAATGGGCGGGTACCCCAACACTTCCGGGAGAGAAGCAAAAGGGAATTCGCTTACACTGAATGCCTAGTAGGTGCTGGCACACGTTAGGCACTTTATATTACTCTGTCTTCAAAATAACCTCACGAGATAGTTTCACAGTTCAAGAATCTGGAGGCCAGAGATCAGTGACTCGCCTAAGGGCTAGAAAGCAGAAGAACTAGGGTTCAAGCTTAGGCATGGCTCTACGCCTATGTCCTTTCCCCCACCCCCAGCAGCAAAAGTCCCCCTGGAAGTGAGCTCTAATGCTGGTAGGATTTCAGCCCCTGTGAGATTTCCTGGCAAACTCTCCTTGCCTTCGAGTCTGACTGCCCTGCCCTAGTGCCTCCCACGAGCTGTAGCTTGTGCCATACCTGGGCGGACACAGAGAAGGCTCCCAATGGCACCAGGGGGCCAGAATGAGAGCAGAGGGTGCCGGTACCCTGCTCTGCCCAACTTGACCCTTCAGTGATCTCTCCCTCTCCTGTCCCCAGACCTGTCGCCACAGCAAGGACCCTGTGTGGAGCCAGGTGTTCTCCTTCTTTGTACGCAACGTGGCCGCTGAACAGCTGCATCTGAAGGTTTGCTTGAAGTTGGGCTCTTGGAACACAGCTAAGAGGTGTCTAAGCTAGGAGGGGTAGGGGGCTTGAGCAGGCTGCCCCGGCAGTAAAGCCAGGAGAGGATACTAAGGGCCCACATCTTCGTGAGCCTGGTGACCAAGGTCATTGGTAGGAGGTTGTGGAAGGACAAACCCTCAAGTCCCTTGGTGCTCCCTGCCAGTCTCTCCAGTTATTACCTAGCACCCAGCATGGCCTGGGTTGGAATCTACTCAGGACATTAATGATGATGTACTTTTTTAAAAAAAGATCTGTGGGCGAGAGAGATCTTCTTTACACCTGAGCAAACAGAGGCTCAAACAATGACTTGTCCAAGATCTCATGACCAACAAGTAGTAGAACTGGGGTCTCTGGGGACCCTCAGACCTGTCTGGAAGTCCCATCATAGAGCAGCACAGCTCATCAGTCCCTAAAGCCCTGATGGTCCCAGGCATTTGACAGACTTGCCTCATACAGATCACAGTTGCCTCTACCCTGAGTCACTCTCTTGCCCTGACTGAAGGCAGGGACCAGGCCTGGTCCCATTTCCAGTTTTCAGGAAAGGACCAGAGGCCAAAAGAAACACAGAACATACTTACTGAAGTGAACTCAGTCTTGGCTGGAGCCCAGAGAGTAGTCTGGTGAGGGTGGGACTTCGTTATCCTCTTGTTTTGTGACTGGCCCACTGCCCAGGTGCTTGATGATGACCGAGAATGTGCTCTAGGAGTGCTGGAGTTCCCCCTGTGCCAGATTCTCCCCTATGCAGACCTTACCCTCGAGCAGCGCTTCCAGCTGGACCACTCAGGCCTGGACAGCCTTATCTCCATGAGGCTGGTGCTTCGGGTAAACCTCTCCCCTTTTCCCCCAGGGGAGGCAGGGGGTGGTCTGCCCCAGCACTAAGTATCTGCACTGTGTCGGGAAGAAGCTAGGAGATGGATTCATATTTTTTATCAATTTCAGAATATCGTCAGCCATTTTCTCTTCAACTATTGCCTCTCCTAATCTTTTAATCCCTCCTTCTACAATTCCTTCTATTATGTTGGACCTTCTCATCATCTCCATGGCTTACCCTGATCTCACCTTCATATTTTCCATCTCTTTATCTCTTGGTGCTACCTTCGAATTTCCTCAGACCTGTCTTCCAGACCACTAATTCTTTCTTTGGCTATGCCTAATCTGCTGTTTAACCTGTTCACAGTTTTTGTTTCAAAGGCTATTCTTCATCTTTCACTTTATCTTTTCCAAATCTACAATGTCTTTTCTTTGTTGTGTTTTATTATCTTCTCATGATTCTACCCCATCTTTAATCATTTGAAAATACTTAAAATGTATGTTAATTCTATTATCTGAAGATCTTGGTAGATAAATTTTGATGTCTGTTGTGTCTGCTGATGCTTTTTCATGGTGACTCATTTCTACATTTGGTAACTTGGGTTGCAGGCATATGTTGTGTTGCCTTTGTGACCTGGATTGAGGTTGTTCACGTCCAAGGAAGTTCTGCTTTGGCTGCAACCAAGCACCTCAGGAACATTACACACCTGAGTCCACTTTTATGTTAATTTTCAAACTTTGGGTTTCAAAACCCCACGGTAGTATAAATATGAACCCAAAATTTATAGGAGACAGGCTATAAGGTGCCATATTCTCATGAAAGACTTTATTTCCCCCAACCAGAGTACAGGCTGAGATAGATATATTTCTTGTCGTCAATCTTTGCTGGTGGGTGAAATGTTTATTTATCCTAGACTACTTTTTCACTAAAGATATCCCACCTTCATGGGTCCTACTCTGACCCTAGATCTCTTCTCCAAACCCCTTGGATTCCATGGTTGATAAATGACCCTGGGAAAATTAACCTTTATTTTTCAGTTTTCTCTCTCTCTCTCTCTTCTTTAACCTAGGGATTTTCCTTACTTTCTTGTGAGTTTGACTATGCATTTAGAAGTATGTTTGTTTCATTTTTATTGAGCATTCCTAACAGGAGGTTTTTCAGAATATTTTGATCGCCTTATTGCTGGAAATGGAAGTTCCTAGGAAGAGTCTTAATGACTGATGGGAAAAGGGGAAGGAGAGACACAATGGCTGAGGTTTGAAACTTTGGTGCTACAAGCACAGGGGTGTGTCTGGACAGGAAACACATTTTAGGGAAAGCAATGGTAAATAAGGTGACAGCTAGAAATGACCATATCCAGAAGGCAGCTGGTGATCTATATGAAGGTTAAGGTGAGGGAGTCCTCTGCACCGAGGGGAAGTGCATGCTGTGAGAATTGGCCAGGTCTCCAGCATCCAGTACCAGTGGATAGAGAAAAGGGATCAGAACTGAGTCTTCATGAAGACTGGTGAGGCAGGAGAAAGGGAAAAGACAGAAGGTCTGGTCAGAGTGAGTCAGAGGCAGAGAGGTTAAGGAAGATATGGTCTAGGGGTAAAAAGATATGGTCTGGGGGTAAAAATCCATTGGATTGGGGAGTCAGAAAGGAACTGAGTTTTGAGAAAACTGTTCCTTCCAGAAAAGAGAAGGAACCATTTCCCAGAGGTAGGTAAGAGCAGAGGGGGAGAGAGTGGTAGTGGTGTGCCCAGCCCATAAACCACCCTGTCATCTGCTTACAGTTCCTGCACTTGGAAGAACGAGAGCTGGGAAGCCCATACACAGGACCTGAAGCCCTAAAGAAAGGCCCTCTGCTCATTAAGAAGGCTGCCACCAACCAGGGCTCCAGAGCCCCACCGCAGGGAGAGGGCCCTGCAGATTTGCCATGCCCTCCAGACCCTGCTTCTGATATCAAGCAAGCCTCCAAAAGTACCACAGCCACCACCAGTGCCACCATTGCTGCCACCAAGCCCTCACTTCAAGAGATGGGCCCAGAGCCCAAAGGCAAGGACAGAGCCAGAGGGTTCTGTGCACCCAAGGGGGAGAAGACGAGTGTGTCCACCATCTTCCTGGCTGTCCCAGGCCCCCACTCTCCAGGGCCCATCAAGTCACCCATGAAATGCCCTTCCTCCCTATTCGCACAGCCGCCCAAGAGGCTGGCTCCCAGCATGTCCTCGCTCAACTCCCTGGCCTCTTCCTGCTTTGACCTGACAGATGTCAGCCTCAACACTGAGTACGCACCTCTCTGCTTAATCTTTTCTAAAATGACCTGCATGAAAAATACCTCCCCGGATGGAAAAGTAGATATGAACTTACTTTTCTGTGCAAGTTCTGGTTTTTCACAAAATGGCTTCATAAGAGGCAGCATGGTGAGATAGAAAGAACACAGGCTGGGGGGAGAGAAAGCACGTGTGCATGTGCCAAAAAGTCTCATGTGGCTCTAGCTACACACCAACTATAAAATAGATGTTGGACTTCAGTTGTTAAGGTTCCTTACAGCAGAAGCATACCCTGAATTCTAAAGAGTTATTTATACTGGGATGATATGGAAAGCTTAGAATGTGGAATTATATAAGCAGTGGCTGCCATTTATTAACTGTTGACTCTGGGCTTAGCATGTTATTTAATTTGATCTTCACAATAACCCTACAAGATAGAACTTACTATCATAAAGGTCGAATAACTCACCCAAGGTTCCACAAGAAATCATAGTATAAAGGCAGATTCTGCTCCAGGGTTCTTCCTACTGTGCCATGCTTTTCCTACTGTGAAACAGGATAATTTTACATGAATGCTGGATAGAACTGACTTCCAACTAAAAGGAACCTTACTGAGAATTATTTTATTAACTTACATACTTCTTGGGGGTGCGGGGAGAGGTCAGCACTTGTAATGGCAAGAGAAATGACAAAGCCTTTCTTTACAGAGACGGGGATCTCAGGCATCAGGGGCTGGGTGAGATTCAGCTCACGGTGCGCTATGTGTGTCTGCAGCACTGTCTCAGCGTGCTAATCAACGGCTGCAGGTAAAGGGATGCTAGGGCCAGGAAAAGTTCTTTGAGAGCATCAGGTGACCAAAATCAGAGTGGGGGCACTTGGAGCAGTGGCAGGGGCAGGCAGCCCCAAGGCAGACAAGGTAGACATTTGGAAGGAACGAGGTCTGAAGGCCTGCATGCTGTAACAGATCCTCAGTGGTGCTGAGGGGCTCCAGAGCCAAGGGCTTTGCTCAGACACAACCACTGCAAAATTGTCTGGGGTGGTTTGGAGCCAGGACATTTTCTCAAGTGAGAATCTTCAACTTCCTTTAGATGGAATGGTACTTGGCTCTACACCCAACTTTACAAAATGCATGTTTACAAAACCATGCACCTGATATCCTCTGAATTCTGCAGACTTTTGCTTTTTTTGGTCTAGACTGCAGGGCATTTTTATCCTCAAGGCCATCTAAAGCTGTATAGATAGTACAGCTTTCTCTAAATGAGTACTTTCAGTATTTCAAAACCAGAGGCCTTTTTTCTTTAATGTCTTTGAAACCAAATCAGAAACCTGATGCCCTGTACCAGCAGTGGAGCTGATCCCTACGTCCGTGTCTACCTGTTGCCAGAAAGGAGGTGGGCAAGTCGTAAGAAGACCTCAGTGAAGCGGAAGACCCTGGATCCCCTGTTTGATGAGAGGTAAGTGGCCCAGGTGGCCTACCTAGAGTGCCTCAGCCGCTCGAGTATTTGCTGAGGACCTCCCGTGTACCTGGCAGCTGCCAGCTTCTGGGAAGGGCTGGGGTTGAACAGGACTACACAGTCCATGCTTTCATAAAGCTTCTATACTTCAGTGAGAGAAAAGGACTGCCAGGGAAGCTTAGCAAAACAGCTACCCACTTTCTTGTCCACAGGGACTAAAGTGCTCCTGATTATGAAATGTTCCATACTCTTTCTCTTTAAATGAAGCCGCTTTGGCAGTAAAAGGATTTGAATCTGGTCAAATATATTTTCTTTCGATCAAAAATAAACGTACCTTGAACCTAAGGACCTAAAATTTCCTCCAAAGCTCCAGGCTCTTTGGCCTGTCTTCCCACCCACAACAAAGCACAGGTGGCAGGTAGAACAGATATCCTCCCCTCGCGTGTCCACCCATGTCCTTGGGGACAAACCAGTAGACAGAGTCTAATCACATTTCTTGCTTTTGATGGGTCTGTGGTGGCAAGTCTTAACCTTAATATTCTAATTCTTGATTTCAAGTTGATCACAAGGTATGGAAGCCAGAATCTCATCATTGCTTCCTTTTGCTGTGGGATCCTAAGAGAAGACATTGCTAGCCAGCCTAGGAAGATACATCTAATAATGTTGGTTTCCTCTTATCTTGGTCAATAACTACTCATTTTAAAAAGAGTTGTACTGAGTCCTTTATGGGCCATGTCTAACGACTGATATATTCCTTCAAAAGCTACCTTCTGAGTTCACCGATACCATGAAAGAGTGGGGGAGAGAGAATATATTCATTGAGTATTTATTGAACACTCTACATACCAGGCACCATCCTATATTCTACAGCCACACAGGTGAAAGGTGTTGCCTTCAGAGAGCTCTGACACAATTATAAAAGGATGTCAAAATTGTTATGTGGGAACACAGGAGATTGACTTTTGTGACAAACCTAATCTGTTAGTAATTCTCTCTCAAAATTGTAACAGCAAGATATGCCTGGATTATCTACGAGGCAGACTTGGCAACCTCCATCTTAAACGTAAACCTAGAAGTAAGGAGTTCAGAGGTCTCTTGTTGAGTACATGATTCATACCATATACATTATAATTAAAATCTCTAAAGTTAACGACAAGGAGAAAATCTTAAAAACAGCAAAAGAAAAACAAGTAGTTACATTACAGGGAGCCCCGCTATAAGACCATCAGCAGAAACTTTGCAGGCCAGAATGGAGTAGCACAATAGTCAAAGTGCTCAAAGGAAAACACTTCCAACCAAAAATACTCTACCAGGGAAAGTTATCATTCAGAATTGAAGGAGAGTTTTCCAGACAAGCAAAAGCTAAAGGAGTTCACCATCACTAAACCAGCTTACAAGAGATTTCTTTAAGCTTCTCTTGTTGAGCACAGGCTCTAGGTGTGCGGGCTTAGTAATTGTGGCGCACGGGCTTTTAGTTGCTCTGCGGCATGTGGGATCTTCCCGGACCAGGGCTCAAACCTGTGTCCCCTGCATTGGCAGGTGGATTCTTAACCACTGTGCCACCAGGGAAGCCCCTAAAATGCATTCACACTTAAGTTACCAACTTAAAATAGACTGTTGGAAGTTGTCATATGTAAGCATAATGGTAAGCACAAAGCAAAAACCTATAGTAGGTACACAAATGATAAAGAAAAAGGAACCTAAGCATACCACTAGTCATCAAAGCACAAAGGGAGCAAGAGAAGAAAAAAGGAACAGAGAGGATCTACAAAACAGCCAGTAAAAAATTAATAAAATAGCAATAAGTACATACCTGTCAATAATTACTTTAAATGTAAATGGACTAATTCTCCAATCAAAAGAGAGTGGCTAAGTGGATTAAAAAAAAAAAAAAACAAGACCCATCTACATGCTGCCTACAAGAGACTCACTTCAGATTGAAAGATGCAGACAGACAGAAAGTGAAGGATGGAAAAAGATATTCCACGCAAATAAAAACTGAAAGAAAGCCAGGGTGTTGCTATACTTATATTAGACAAAACAGACTTTAAAACAAAGACTGTAATAAAAGACAAGGGCATTACATAATGATAAAGGGGTCAATCCAACAAGAGGATATAGTATTTGTAAATATTTATGTACCCAACATAAGAGCACCTAAATACATAAAGCAAATATTCACAGACCTAAAGGGAGACATAGACAGCAATAAAATAATAATAGTAGGGTACTTTAATACCCTACTTTCATCAAAGGATAGATTATCCAGACAAATTCAATAAGGAAGCATTAGCTGTATACGACATGTTAGACCAGATGAACTTAACAGATATACAAAGAAGAGTCCATCCCAAAGCAGCAGAATACACATTCTTCTCAAGTGCACATAGAACATTCTCCAGGATAGATCATATACTAGGCTGCCACAAACAAGTCTTAATAAATTTAAGAAGATTGAAATCATATCAAGAAATCAAGAGAAATCAAAAAATACCTTCAGACAAAGAAAATGGAAATGTAACATAACAAAATTTATGGGATGCAGCAAAAGCAGTTCTAAGAAGGAATTTCATAGCAATAAATGCATATATCATAAACAAGAAAAGTAAGAAATAAGAAAAATCTCAAATAAACAACCTAACTTTACACCTCAAGGAATAAGAAAAAGAAGAATAAAGTCCAAAGTCAGCAGAAGGAAGGAAATAAAGTTCAGAATGGAAATAGAGACTAAAAAGACAATAGAAAAAAATCAATGAAACTTAGAGCTGGTTCTTTGAAAAGATAAACAAAATTGATAAACCTTTAGCTAGACTCACCAAGAAAAAAAGAGGACATAAAAGAGGAAAGAGGAACTGTAAAATTGATACCACAGAAATACAAAGGATAAGAGACTACTATGAATAGTTATATGCCAACAAATTAGATAACCTAGAAGAAAAGGATATATTCCTAGAAAGATACAACCTACCAAGACTGTGTAATGAAGAAAAAGAAAATCTGAACAGACTGATTACTAGTAAGAAGTTTGAATCAATAATCAAAAATCTCCCAACAAACAGGTCCAGGACCACACAACTTCACTAGTGAATTCTACCAAATATTCAGAGAAGAATTAACACCAGCCATCCCCAGACTCTTCCAAAATATAGAAAAGGGAACAGTTGCAAAACTCATTTTACAAGACAAGCACTACCCTCAGACAAGGATGCCCACTCTTACCAGGTTTAAACATAGTATTGGAAGTCCTAGCCACAGCAATCAGACAAGGGAAAAAAAAAAAAAGGAATCCAAAGAGAGAAGTAAAACTGTCACTGTTTAAAGATGACATGATGCTTTATAAAGAAAATGCTAAAGATGTCACCAAAAACCTATTAGAACTAATAAATGAATTCAGTAACATTGCAGGATACAAAATTAATATACAGAAATCTGTTGCATTTCTATACACTAACAACAAACTATCAGAGAAATTAAGAAAATCCATTTATAATTGCATCAAAAATAAAATATCTAGGAGTAAATCTAACTGAGGAGGTAAGAGACCTGTGCTCTGAAAACTGTAAGACGCTGATGAAAGAAATCGAAGACAACACAAACAGATGGAAAAGTATATCATGCTCATGAACTGGAAGAATTAATAATGTTAAACATTATTATTTCTGAGCTGTCTATTCGGTCCCATTGATCTGTCTCTTTTTATGCCAGAACCATACTGTTTTGATTATTATAACTTTGTAATATAGTTTGATGCCTGGAGGCATCAGGGAGCATGATGCCTCCAGCTTTGTTCATCTTTCTCAAGATTACTTTGGCTCTTTGGTGGTGCCATGCAAATTTTAGGATTGTTTGTTCTATTTCTGTGACAAATGCCATTGGAATTTTGATTGCATTGAATCTGTAGATTGCTTTTGTCCACACATGTATAGCTGATTAACTTATGGCAAAGGAGCCAAGAATGTATAACGGGGGAAAGCACAGTCTCTTCAATAAGTGGTGTTAGGAAAATTGGACAGCCACATGCAACAGAATAAAATTCAACCACTATCTTATACTAGACACAAAAATTAACTCAAAATGGACTAGAGACTTGAAAGTAAGAGCTGAAACTCTGAAACTCTTAGAAGTGAACATAGGTGGGTTAAGCTCATTGACATCAGTCTTGGCAATGGTTTTTTGGATTTGACACCAAAACCAAAGGCGACTAAAGCAAAAATAAACAAGTGAGACTACATGAGACTACATTAAACTAAAAGGCTTCTGAACAGCAAAGGAAACCATCAACAAAATGAAAAGACAACCTACCGGGGCTTCCCTGGTGGCGCAGTGGTTGAGAGTCCGCCTGCCGATGCAGGGGACGCGGGTTCATGCCCCGGTCCAGGAAGATCCCACATGCCGCGGAGCGGCTGGGCCCGTGAGCCATGGCTGCTGAGCCTGCGCGTCCGGAGCCTGTGCTCCGCAACGGGAGAGGCCACAACAGTGAGAGGCCCGCGTACCGCAAAAAAAAAAAAAAAAAAAAAAGACAACCTACCGAATGGAAGAACATACTTTCAGATAATATATTGGAAAAGTAGTTAATATCCAAAATCTATAAAGAACTCATAGAACTCAATAGCAAAAAAATCAAACAATCTGATTAAAAAATGGGCAGAGGCTCTGAATAGACATTGTTCCAAAGAAGACATACAATTGGTCAGTAGGTATATGAAAAGATGCTCAACATCATTAATCATCAGGGAAATGCAAATCAAAACCACAATGAAATATCACCTCACACCTGTCAGAATGGCTATTATCAAAAAGAAATAACAAGTGTTGGTGAGGATGTGGAGAAAAGGGAACCCTTAGGCACAGCTGGTGGGAACGTAAATTGGGGCAGCTGCTATGGAAAACAGCATGGACGTTCCTCAAAAAATCAAAAATAGAACTACCATACAATGCAGCAATTCCATTTCTGGGTATTCATCCAAATAAAACAACACTAATTCAAAATGATATATGTACCCCCATGTTCACTGTGGCATTATTTACAATAGCCAAGACATGGAAACAACCTAAATGTCCACTGATGGATGAATGGATTTTTTAAAATGTGGTGTGTGTGTGTATGTGTGTGTGTGTGTGTGTGTGTGTGTGTGTATATGTATATATGTATATATATGTATATATATGTGTGTATATATATGTGTGTGTATATATATATATACCATAGAATATTATTTACTCATGAAAAAGAATGAAATCTTGCCATTTGAAACAACATGGATAGACCTTGAGGGCATTATGCTAAGTTAAATAAGGCAGAAAAAGATAATTACTTATGATCTCACTTATATGTGGAATCTAAAAATGCCAAAAACCAACCAAACAACAAAACCCAAGCTTATGGATATAGAGAACATATTGGTGGTTGCCAGAGTTGGTGGTTGGGGTGTGTGTAAAATAGATGACTGGTCAAAAGGTACAAATTTCCAGTTATAAAATGAATATTCATGGAGTTATAATGTACAGCACGGTGACTATAGTTAATAATACTGTATTACATACTGAAAGTAGCTAGGAGAGTGGATCTTGAAAGTTCTCATCACAAGAAAAAAATTTTTTTGTAACTATGTATGGTGATAGATGGTAATTAGACTGATCATTTCACAACACATCCAAATCACATCATTATGGTAAACATGAAACCAATAATGCTATGTCACTTATATCTCAATTTAAAAAATTAAAAGCTATTATGGGATTATATTGAATCATGTGTGTCAAACTTTTCAAAAGTGTGAAGCACTATAGAATTTAAAGAATCTTTCACTCAATTAAAAAAATTTGAAGACTTTTTTTTTTTTAAAACCAGAAATGTAAGGAGTCCAGAGGCATCTTATGAGTACACGACAAAGCTTGTATACTAAGATTCCTCTGCCTTACTCCACAGGCGTAAGTGGGAAAAGACCACTGTTTTCCATGCAATTCCAGCAAACCTAATTATTCAGCATCCTAGCCCTTAGCTGGCACTGTTCTGAGAGAGAAGGGGCAGCCGAAAGAGTGACAACCAGAGTAGAGTCAGAGAAGGAAAGAAGCAAACCCCAAAGCACAATAGTTCAAGGAACTTCTCAGAGAAGCAAACAGCCTCTTGACACTTCCAAGGTTTGTGAATATAACACAGGACAGTGATTATCTATCATAATGATGCACTGAGTATCTGCTGTAAGCCAGTACTGTTCTAGATGCTCTTCTCTATAGTCTATATCTTCTGTTTTAAAGGTAGGCAAACGGATGAAACACTTGAGATTTTCAGTGAAAATGATTAAAATATATAAATCGCATTTCCTGACTTTTTGCTCCTTAAAGATTTGAATTTTTTGTTCCCTTGGATGAAGTAAAGAAGAGGTCACTAGACATCGCAGTGAAAAACAGTAGGCCACTTGGCTCACACAGAAGGAAGGAGCTAGGAAAAGTAAGTACAAAAGGGACTTTTGTCATTCTTTCCCTCCTGGTGGCTAACTGGAGTTCACTGGTGGAACACACCCTTGCAGAAATTCTGATGGGATCATCTGGCTATTACCAGAACTGACTTCAAGGAAGGTATAGCCTCATTGGGAGGCTTTTTGTTTTGTGTCTTTTTAAAAAATACTCTTGAAACTGAAGTATATAAATTAATATAATAAACCCTATTTTAACAAACTTGAATATCCAAGTTCATCGCTACACAAGTATTTGAACTTCTACTATGGTATTAAGTATTGTTTTGATAAATACAGCATTGTGTGAAGCTTGGATCTCATTATGTCAAGATTTTTGTGGTGAATGGGATTTTACTTAAAGTTAGAAGTAAAGGAAATATAATCCTCAGGAAGATGCCAAGGAGAGACAAAAAAGAATATTTGTACACTCTGTAGTTGTTGTATTTTAATAAACACCTCTTATACTCATTTTTAAAAGCCCACTTCTGTGAAGTAGGTGATGATATCCCCATTTTTACTACTGAGGAAACTATGGTGTCTTGCTTAAAATTCTGGATCAGTTCATGAGTAAAGGCAAGCTGTTCTCTCTAAAACATTCATAAATAAATTCCTGAGGTACAACTGCAAACAGCAATTCACCTCTTCCCAGGACACTGAGGTCAGTGTCAGTACTGTCCTTCTGGAGAGGTTCTGTATTGAAATCCAAAGGAAAAAGAGCTCCTGCTCAGAACTCAAGGAGGCCCTTTTTATGATCAATTTCATTTATCCCAATATGTTTCCATTTAATGCAGTTTTGGGGAAGGGAACTGATTATTTGTGTTTGTTTAGGTACTGATTGACTTATCAAAAGAAGATCTGAATAAGGGCTTCTCACAGTGGTAAGTAAGCCCTTTCATTTGATCAAATTAAATTTGCTACTCAAGACATTGTCTCAGACAGTTGCCCATATTCTCTCTCCAAAGTTCTTCCCTTTTCAGTACATATCAGCTCCTTTGTTTATAAAGGAGACATTATCACCTTAAGGCTTTACTGCCTACAGATTTCACTTACCTAAAGGACCTCTGTAAGCCCTAGTCTTAACCCTGGCCAGCCAACTTACAGAGGTGAGTTCTGCTGGTCCCACAGAGGCCCAGGTAGGGTAGATTAGGCCACCTGTCCTGATGTTGCCACAGCACACTCTCAATACTAACACAAGTCCAAACTCAACTATCTTACAGGTATGAGCTGACTCCAGATGGCCAGCCCAGAAGTTGATGATGAACAACAACATCTTTATTTTTTAAATGTGTACATATGTATATTTTGTAACTTAAATCAGAACAGCCATTTGAAAAAAATACATACATATACATACACACACACACACACACACACATTCTTGTGTGCAGTATAACTGCATGACTGGATAGTATTAGGAAGAGGTAAACACATGTAAAAGCAAGAACTACTCTTTCTTGATTGGATTTAATTGTTTAAATCCATAAACAAGCAGCGTATTTGTGCCTAACAAATTATCAGAACCTCAGTGGTGAATTTTCACTGACATAGGACTCGCGTGAATGTATGCACCAAAAGGGTCCTGTCTCAGACACAGAGGGTGAGGGAGGTCTGTTTGTGAAGCAGCTATCAGTATTCCTGGGCAGTGACTGACCAAGGGAGGAGGCTTCTTTTATGGGACTAAAAAGTGATCCACCAAAAAGTGCCAAGAGCTAACTCTATCTAAGCCCTGCTGGCTGCCACCTCTGGTACTTCTCTGCCTGGAGGTTCGTTCATGTATCTGATTTGGAACTAAAATGTACTTTCCTGATGGCAACAATGTTAGTGATAGTACTCCAGTATGGGATGGCCTGGGACCAAACTCCAGCATTTGGCATTATTTCCATAGGAAAATGTAAGAAAAGTTTCAAACCCAGGTCTACGTCTGCACTCCCATAGAGCACTGGAGGCTGCTGCCGAGTGTCAGTGCCAGAGAACAAGGGGCTTTCTGTATCTCTCTCAGATAGGTTTGGGAATTCTGCTCCACTCTTCTAAGAGAGGGCTGGTTCACCTAAACAACATGTTAAAAGCAAAATATGTAAATTGTATATTTAAACAAGTGCCTCTTCTGCATTTCAGACTTTATAAAACCACACATTCTTGTCCTTTCTCACGCTCCTAGAGCTGTTGTCGAGTCACATCCTCTTCACTTATCTACGCAGGCAGTACCCCCTGCCATCAGTTTCCTCTCCCTACCACTGCTTTCACTGCCACTTTTCTGAAGAATGGTAACATCTTAAAACAAAGTTTTTGTCATTTTACTCTCACTTATAAATTATTATTTCCTGCTTTCTACAAAATTCAAGCCCACTCCTTGTGTTTCAGACCTAACATAATCAGGTCTCCAGTTTTCTGCTACCTTATTCATGTGCAGATGCTCTGTTCCAGAACAGTCCATATATATCCTGTCTACTAATCCTACTTACCTCTTAGAGGCCTATGTCAAACCCACCTCCTCCATTAAGCCACCCCACGCTGACAGGGCCTCTCCCCCCTACCTAGGGCAGCGGTCCCCAACTTTTTTGGCACCAGGGACCGGTTTCGTAGAAGATAATTTTTCCACAGACTGGGGCGGGGAAGGGAATGGTTTGGGGATGATTCAAGCACATTATATTTATTGTGCACTTTATTTCTATTATTATTACACTGTAATATATAATGAAATAATTATACAACTCACCATAATGCAGAATCAGTGGGGCCCTGAGCTTGTTTTCACTTGCCACTCACTGATAGGGTTTTTTGTTGTTGTTGTTGCAAATGTCAGGTTTATTGTATTCATATTTCTAAATGGATGTTTTTAGACCTTGACCAAAATAGAAAGGGCTGGTTTACATTTAATGCTCCATTTTAAAAAGAAATAGTTAGCAGAAGAACAAATCAGATTGCAGTGGGGTGGAGAATGCATCATAGCTTTACAAAAATAAGAGAGACTACTCTTATCCTGGCCAAGTATTTAAAAACTCAGTCATTGGTTAGCAGCAGTCCTTAACATTTTTATACCCTCATTATAATTTACTCACGTTGTAGAAGAAGCTAAGGGTCACTCTGAAGATATTTTTCACAACAGGCAATTCATAGAAGAGAAATCTGAATGCAGGCTACACATGAAAAGATGCCTTGACTGCACTAAGTAATCAGAGAAATGTACATCTAAACAATAGTGAATTACCATTTTATACCCAACTGATAGGGTTTTGATATGAGTCTGAAAGCAACTGATTTATTATGGTCTCTGTGCAGTCAAACCTCTCTCTAATGATAGTCTGTATTTGCAGCCGCTCCCCAGCACTAGCATCACCGCCTCAGCTCCACTCAGATCATCAGGCATTAGATTCTCATAAGGAGCGTGCAACCTATATCCTTCGCAGTTCACAGTAGGGTTCGCGTTCCTATGAGAATCTAATGCTGCCGCTGATCTGACAGGAGGCGGAGCTCATGTGGTAATGCGAGCGATGGGGAGCAGCTGTAAATACAGATGAAGCTTCGCTCGCTCACCTGCCGCTTACCTCCTGCTGTGCAGCCGGGTTTCTCACATGACACGGACCAGTATCGGTCCGTGGCCCAGGGGTTGGGGACCCCTGATCTAGGGCATCTACTATCAACACTGTACATTTTTCATTTTAGCAAATCCCCGCCATGTAACATTTAATATTTAAAAATGTTTATTAAATATCTACTAAGGTCATATGCTAATCAACTACCTGTACTGTGACTGGTATTTAATGTTTCTGTTTACTCTCCAATTGACCTAGAAGCTACTTGAATTGATTTTCACCCCCATCATCCAAGGCTATGCTAAGTACGTGGCCGACGTGTAATAAAATTTGTTTCTGCTGTTTTGAGTGACAAATTCTCATAATAAAATGGGACAAGTGATGCCTGTCCTATCTACCTCACAGTGGCATTGTAATGTTCACTAAACAGACAAGTTACTTGAAAATGATAAAGTGCCAGAGGAGTAGAGGGAACGTATCATATGTCACGTCCTGAATATCAGCAACCCTAAAACAACTACTGCAAGATGGCAGACAAAGCAGACAAGTGAAAACCTATCCGTCCTCTTCCAAACACATAGAAAACCTCGTTAAACCATGAACAACATTTATTTTAAACATGGTTGATTAAAAAGTAACACAGGTAGGGCTTCCCTGGTGGCGCAGTGGTTGGGGGTCCGCCTGCCGATGCAGGGGACGCGGGTTCGTGCCCCGGTCCGGGAAGATCCCACATGCCGCAGAGCGGCTGGGCCCGTAAGCCATGGCCGCTGAGCCTGCGTGTCCGGAGACCGTGCTCCGCAACAGGAGAGGCCACAACAGTGAGAGGCCCGTGTACCGCAAAAAAAAAATGTAACACAGGTAAAGTTCTGGTGATGATCCAAAGAGAAAATCTACAGCAGGGTATAGGAGTTGAAGGGGGTGTTTTGAAGAGAACCAGAATTTTAGCACACACCAGAGAGAAGGCAAAGCTACTATGTAAGGCACAGGAGCCTGAAAAGTTTTGTCATCAGAAAATGCCTTTGCTGCCAATAAGGACAAGCAGTTGGTTGTCAGCAGTGGGTGGAAACAATCACCTACTCTCTCCTACAGGACCACGGGGTCTGAAGTTACACACAGTTGACCTGGTGTGGAAACCTCCACACCTGGAAACTAATGTGAAAATTGGTTTAGAACCTGCAACCATGTGAAGCCCTGACAGAGACAACCACAAAACTAGCCCTTAGGGTTGTCATGCCCACCTAGGGCACATGCTGGACCACTGTAGCAGATAATTCCCACTAAAGGGAAGCTCACAGGCAAAAATTATAAAAACAAAAACAATTTTAAATATATGAAGCACATGGGAATACCAACTGAAAAATGGCCACTAGATGTATTTCAGCAAGAAGGAAAATGTAACATTAAGGCAGAAGTGGCATGTGGGAAACAATGGAGAGCAAAGAAATCTGTAAAATGTGTTGGTAAACCTACGTAAGTCTTGATTGTTTAAGAAATATAAAGTAAGCAAGCAACCAAAAATGTTTGTAAAAACTGGGTTCAAAAAGCCTGTGGCACTGAAATGCTAGTACTGACATCTAAGAAGGACCATGAAGCTGGTTCAGAGGAATGTTAAAGTCCTTATTTAAGAAATTAAAGATAGTTTTCTATTTTAAAAATTAATTATTAGTATGTGGCAGTTACTAGTTTATTACCTTTCAGCTCCAAGTCAACCCATCTTTGCCCTGCTTTGATACTAGAGACACCACAGCCTCCTCTCCTTTGCCAGGGAGCTTGAGGTTAGGCTTCCCAAATGAGGGCACTGGAGAGACACTGCAAGGCCAGAGTGGGAAGAAGGGGCCTTTCTTTCTTCTACTGAGGTGCTTTTTTCCTGGCTGTGTGAGGGCCGTCCTCAGTTACCAAAGCACCGCCACAGTTTACTCTTGGCTCACGCCCTTGGGCTTTGCAAACATAAATACAGCCTTCATGGTTCAGCACCATCCAGCACCCTCTGGCAAGTTTCTTTGCCACAAGTTGGTTGCCTGTTCCTATAGCAGCCAGACCTCTACTCAAAGGTTTAAATCTCAGCCTAGTGGGAAGGCAATTTTTAAGTTTCTAAGTTCCTTCCTTGTTCACTCTCCTTTATCCCTGGGGGTAGTATCTGCTTTCTGAAGTCGCTACTGCATACCCCTTAGAGTCTCCTTTTCTCCCCTTTTAGTAGGTATCTACCATTACTAGTTAGCCATTCTTGTTTTAAATTTTTCCTGTTAGGCTACCTGTGCAATGTAGTTTCTATCTCCTGACCGTGACTAAGTGTATATTAAAAATTTTAAGATAACCAATAAAATAGAGTAACAATAGAAAAATCAACAGAGCTGAAATATAAAACTTCCAAATCAGTAGTGAAGAAGAAAAAAAAATAAAGAAATTCAATACCCCCCAAAAAATAGGAAAGAAAAGAGTAGCATAGAAAAATATGATAAATAGAAAATACAAAAGAAGATAGGCAAAAGACTTCTAAATATATTTGTAATCACAATAAACCCACTATTAAAACCTGCAAGGGGGTCAAATTCCATGAAAATAAAAAGTACAGCTATATGCTATTTACAAGAGGTTCACTTCAAACACATAGAAGTGTTGAAAATAAAAGGATGAAAAAGATATACTCAAGGGTAGTTTAGATTTGTTTATAGTAATGGTAGCAAACATCATATTTAATGGTGAAACATTAAATGCTTTCCTTTTGAAATCTGGAATAAGAAAGGGCTGCTTGCTATCACCACTTCTACTCAGCCCTGTATTGTGGCATATGTAGTTGGGCAAGAAAAAACAGGTGTATCTGACCAAAACTGTTGTTATATACAGATGATATGATCATGAGCATAAAAATCCAAAATAATCTAAAGATATACTGCTAGAGTTAATCAGAGAGTTTCTAGCAAGATTGCTAACTGCAAAGTTAATATTTAAAAATCAACTGTAGTTCTCTGTTCCTGAAATAGTTGGAAAATGAAATTTTAAAAAGATAATTTATAAATGTATAAAAGATCAAATACTATGAATACATCCAACAATAATCCCTACGGGAAAATTATGAAACTTTATTAGAAATGTTAAAGGGAATCTAACCAGATGGAGAGCTATGCTGTATTTGGAGTTTGAAGACCCAACATTACAGATGCTGATTTTCCTCACTGATCCTATCCTTAATGAAAAAAAAATCTCAATATGTAGTGTGTGTGTGTGTGTGTGTGTAACTTGATAATCTGATTCAATACACATGGAAACATAAAGGGTGGGAGGCCATCAACTGGAGACCAAAGTTTATTTTAAAGTTAAAATAATGAAAACAGTGGGGTACTAGTGCAGGGAGAGACAACTGGACCAAAAGAATAGAAAAGAGAGTCCAGTAACAGACCCATTCACACACACATATTCAATTCATGACAGAGGTAGCACTACGAGCAGAGGGGAAATAGATTTTTCAATAAATGGTGCTGAGATAACTGGGTATCTATGATGGAAAATGTAAAAATGGTCCTTTACTTATACCACATTTAAAAAATCAAACAACTGCAGGTATATTAGACTAAGTGTGAAAGGCAAAAGTGTACAGCTATAAGATAATATAAGAGAATAACTTTACAACTTGTGACTAGAGAAAGGTTTCATAAGACACTTAGAGCACTAACTATAAATCTCTACATCTTTAACTATACTCTCTATATTAAAATTAAGTTTGTCAGTTCATAAAAAGAAACTAGAGGAAAATGGAAACAG